CAGGAATAATCACAGAAGTACATAGATGGAAGTTGCATGACGATTACAACATCAAAATGGCTAAGTTCTGCAATCTTAACAGGAGAGGAGTCTGGGATAGCTCCATCCTTTTGACAGCAATCACATGCAGAATACATGCAAGTGAACTGTTGCACAAACCAGGTTTTGCAAGTGTGAGAAGCATTTGAAATATTTCAGACAAAGAAACCTTTGAAAATACAGTTTTACCTCCACACTTTAAGAGAGAACCCTACCTTGTTGTGCTCCTAAAGTCAGAGGTGTTATTTTCATCTACAGGAGCCAGAAATTTTAAGAAATTTGGCACAGAAGAGGAAGAATGAAGCTTTTTCCTTAAGGCAATACGGTAGGAGATGCTGAGAGTGCAGTTGGAAAAAGTATAGTTTAGAACAAAGACGTATAAATCCACAGAATAAAAATAATACATACTGCTAAGTTTCAAACAAAAAGCAGCTAAATCCTGAAGGCCTGAATATCAAGGAAACCAAAGTCAAAACTGAAACTGCTAACAAAGTGATACTTCAAAATACATATTTGTTTGGGCAAACTAAAATGTTCCAATGTAAATATATGTACTTCCAGTAAAGTTATTATTCTTTGCTATATCCCAAGATTTTTAGTGCATGTTTCAAGTAAATTCCTTTAATCCGGTAAGAACTGACGCCAACTTTATCACTGCACATTTACTTAAATATCGGTTTCAATGATTGACTAAGTTTGGGGGGAAAAGGTTAGGAAAAGCTGACACTGATAATCATTGTGCTGGCAAACGAAAAATAAGACTGTGGCAAAAAGTCTTTTACCATTTTGTAAAGCATTAACAGGGTTTTATTCAGACAAGCTTGGAACTTAAACTTGGAAGTTAAAAGCTGAGCCTTCTGACTGATCATTTAGGATTGTGGCTCTATTTATGCAACAGACAGGAGCACTAATCAAATTTCATCAACAGTCTTCTGGCCAACATAATTCTGCTCTTTTAAAATAACAAGCCCCCAACATACTCAGAAGGTTAACAGAAGGAAGTGAGAACAACTCAGATACCGAAAAGTTTCTGCGTGGAATGAAAATGTAGAAAATTACTTGGCTGATGATACTAGAAGACCTTTTCTCAAAGGAGTACACAAAAACACGTGAGTAGGAGAATTTACTCCTGAAAAACTAAGTTTAAGAAAGAACCGCTTCTGATAAACCATAATGATATATCTAGTTGGCATTTAGCGCTCTCACCTGAAGATGTGAACGGGATGGGGGGGATACTCTGGGATAATCACTAGTGTGAAGGGAATTTGTTCTTTAGTAGCTGGTACTAAGCACAAAGAAGATAAGGCTGTAGCATGGTGTGCCCTGCAAACAGGTTTCACTTACAATCGCATTGTAAATCCATCACAATTACACGGTAATTTCATTTACAGAATACAATCAACTTGGGCAGTTTGACTTTATTGATTTAAAGTCATTAACCCATTTGATATCCGTATCAATTTCCGTTTTCAGTCTTGTCACTTAGAGGTTCAACATGGTATATCCTTAAATGACAGGGAAAGGGAAGGAGAAATTGCTACTGTGCGTGCAAAATCATTACCAAATCTACCTGGAAAAATCTGCTTTTGAGAATTTAACCTTCAGGATTCAAGTAAGTCTTACTAAAATGAAGAGTAGAGAGGACACTGTAGACTCACATTTCCTCCCCTGACCTGTACCATACTTCTGAGGCGAAGCTAAATTAAGAGAAATGCTAGTTAGTACTCAGCAAATACAACTGAAGGAACTGGTGAAACAAGGTTCTCAGTTGAGTATTTTCTCAGAAGAATCAGCATCTTGGGAAACAGGAAACCTTCACCCAAGGGAACAAAACCAAACAATAAACAGCAACAGCAATAAAAATTGCTTGCCAATGGCCAGTGACTGTTGACAGCGCTTCCAAGGACATTTGGTCTCATTAGCCTTTTGAGCTAAAATAAGCAGTTTTAGCTCAAGGGGTTAAGAAGGGGTTTCATGGTTAAGATTTTTAGGGAGCTACTTGTTTCAGGTTCTCAGGGAAATGATGGGTTAATGTCCTTTTCTCAATGTTCTCTACATGTATTTTTGTTCTAAGAAAGGAAGCACAGAAAAGTATCATTTAATACTGCTCAAAGTATCCACGACAAATACATGAGCTAGTGGGTTGGGGCTTTTTGTTTGTTTGTTCTTGGTTTTTGGTTTTGGGGGGAGTGGGGTGTATGGTTTTTTGTTTTGTTTGTGGTTTTTGGTTGTTTGTGGGTTTTTTTTGTATCAGCTCTCCACAGTCCTGTTATTTCTTGCCCCATTTAGTTAACCTAGTCAATTTGCCTTTAATGTCAGCCACAAAAGAATATTAATATGTTTCTGTGTTACCATGAACAAAGCAGAACAGAACTGAATGATTCAGGAGGGACAGAGTGAGCTGGATCACAGGTTCTTGGCAACTTATCCCTCACACAATTTAAGCAGTGCTGCTGTCTGCTGCATAACAAGTCGCTTTGGAGCATCTGGCTCTAAAGAAAGTCATCTGTTCATTTGTCATGAAAGAATTTTACTTATTAAAACAAAAAAATTATGTAAGTAGCAGCTCTACATTCACTAGCGGAGCAGTTAGAGAGTTCCCTCTTCCATGAAAATCTACCACCTTTGGTCTATATTAAATTATTTTAATTCTTTACACTATAGAGCTTCATATTTATTACATGGTAAAACAAACCCTATCCCAAACTATGTACAGGTGCTAGCTCACCTCTTTTGTGCAAAATGCCCACTTTGTTCTCCACTTGAATTATGCCTTAGATATTTAAAAAAGTTGGGTGAAGAGGCCGAGGGATTAAGACGAGCTAGAGTAGGAGAACGTGCAAGTTGACCAGAAGAACTTTTAGGTTCGCCGACAGATGCGTTCAAACCGTATAGTGGGATTCCAACCAGTGCGATGGAGTTGAGGTAGCACAAAGAACAAAACAAAGAGAGGAAAGAAGGGAGGGAGGGGGAAAAAAAAAGAAGTGAAATCCCTTCTCTAGTCTTCGAAAGGGACCTGGCATATACAAATGAGCCAATTCCTATGTTTTTCACAGTTAATGCAGTAACCGTAAGAGTCTGAGCATTTTAACCCAATCAGCAAACTCCCAAATACACACTTACATGCTTCAGCAAGGCATTTCAGTGTATGACTAAATTTAAACTCCTAAAAAACCGTCAATGACACACCCCTTTTCTCCCTCATGTGCTTCACCTTGGTTTCTATGATAAAGTCAGGCATATGATCAAGAGTTCTAATGGATGAGAAGTGAAATCCTACATGAAGAACTGAATTTATTTACACTTTGGAAACAATTTATGAATTGAGGTAAGCTGTACAAAAACACTCATAAAACGTGCAAGACTTGTTAAAAGTCTATCATTCCAGTGATTTTTGTGAACTTTAAGTATACTTTTCTTCTAAATTTTCCACTTCCCCTGGTTCTGTACATTTGCTATGAAAGGGAAGAACAGTGATTTCTTTTTGGTTTGAGTTATGTGAAGCAGCAGGCACATGCAGGTCTTACTAAAAATTACATGAAAAAAACCAAATAGAAATAACCAAGGAAATGAAAAATATACTTAATTTCTATTATGATCCTATAGTAAGATAGGAATTGATTGAACAAGCAGCTACAAGCATCAGGCAACTCTCACGAAGATAACAACACAAGTCCTAAACTGCACTACAAAAACATTCTAGTATTTTAGAATTAAAAAGGTTCAAAGAAGGGACAAAAAGGCAACCCAGGTTATGTTTCCCTTCAAATACTATAATTCTCTTTTTTTCACTGTCATCGCCTATTTCAGGCATGTTCGTTTACTGCCCTGCCTCCTGCAGGGAAAAATGAGCTGGAACACATACAGATTTCCTACTGCCTAACTTGTGTAAACGAGCAGTTTTGGCAGTAAAACAGAAGCCTACAGACAGAAATGTTTCCATAGCAATTGGAAAAAGTCAGATAGAGGGAGGGAAAAAAACGGCCATAAAGTTAAGAGGATACTGTAGGGATGTAGAGGCAGGCTTTTGAAGGAGGATAGCTTGAAGAATATTAGCATGAAGGCAAGCAGTAGCTTGTTTTTGCAAGTAAAATCTACATAGGCTAATTGAAAAGCTAGACAGGAGCCTCACCTCTATCAATGATTAGGCAATTTGTGTCAGTTTTTTTTAAAGTCACACATGAATTCACCAACTAGCAAGGTTTTCAGAATCACAAATGCTACCGGATTTTTCTCTATAAATAGACAACAAGAAGTAGATTTATTTATACTGCTGGCAGATCAAAACAACAAAAATTACTGAATATTGCTTGCAAAAATATAATCAAAACCCTTGGGAGCAATCCTATGTTGTGCTTACACTCAGTTTTGTGACATATACTACACATCTCATGTTTTCTCTGATCTGTGGAGCACACAGGGCTAAAAGTGTTTTTAAACAGGATACCTACAAGCCTCCAAAGAGTGACACACTGCTGTGATAGTTTCTTATCCATTAAGAGAACATACCTGGTACGCAATTCTCATCCCCAAATATGCCCTCAACAAATGAAATCATAGCCTGCTTTTAATAAGTCTTACTTTCTTTTGTGAGGAGTCTCTGTGCTCACTGAGTGATACCTCATAAGTTTCCTCTGGGGAACAGATGGTGATGTTTCAACAGGTACCAGAGATTCCTGGCTTTCTGTTGGCAAATGACTCAGTGTGTTTGCTCGCCTCCGAAAGCTTTGCTGAGGTAACGTAACAGACTGCTCAGTAGGAGAATCATCTGCGTCACTGAAGAGATCACCCACTGATCCACTGGTTTTGACAGCATCTTCTGTAGGAAGCATAGGAAGTCTGTCTCTGTCCTTTTCACACAATGGTGGTTCCTAGCAGTGCGAAAAATAAGGTTATCAATACGTGGGTTTAAAAACAGTCTTTGAGGTTGCAGTTCCATATCATTATTCACATCCCACAGAGACCTGCTTCAAACTTGCATATTTTTATCATGATAGCTCAAAGAAAGAATCTTTGATGACTTCATTATTAATCATTTAGGTCAACAAATCACAGTCTCCATTTTACAGAGAAAAAGTAATTTTGAGAGTAATTGTATTTTACAGCACGTTGAGTATGTCCCGGTTTCGGCTAGGATAGGGTTAAATTTCTTCCTAGTGCTGTGTTTTGGATTTAATATGAGGAGAATGTTGATAACACACTGATGTTTTCAGTTGTTGCTAAGTGCCCTCCTAGCCCAAGGACAGCTCCCATGCCTACTGACTGAGCTAGGTACACAAGATGGGAGGGAACATAATCAGGACAGCCAGCTCAGCTGGCTAATGGGGTATTCCATACCATGTGACGTCATGCTCAGTATATGAATGGGAGGCGTGATCCAGGAAGTACTGATCGCTACCTGGTTATCGGTCAGCGTGGGTGGTGAGCAATTGCATTGTGCATCACTTATTTTGTATATATTATCATTATCATTATTATTTTCCCTTTTCTGTTCTATTAAACTGTCTTTATCTCAACCCACGAGTTTTTCTCCCTCTTACCCTTCCGATTCTCTCCCCGTCCCACTGGGGGAGGGGGAGAGTGAGTGAGCGGCTGCACGGTATTTGGCTGCCTGCCAGGTTAAACCACGACAGAGTACAAGTCAGAAGAAATGGAGTCAGAACAGAACAGATGGGTCAGGTTTGGGTAACAGTAACAGCAGTGAAAAGGGTGGCATTCAGAGTACTGTACATTTAGCACCTCATCTAACAATATAATATTCCTGTTGTCTACCTGAAGATTCACACAAAGGACTTTAATCCTATGACTAGATGCCTGTTTCAGTCCAAACCCATGCATTTTTCTTCATACCCCACCTCATGTGTTTCCTGCAGAGTTGGCCATTCTTTCAAAAACATAGGCAGAAAGAGCAGACTCTTGATTACCTGAAGTCAGGAGTCTGTAGGTGACTAGGCACTAGACCAGAATCAACAGCTGTATCCAAGTCTGCAGAGTGCTAGGCTGCCTCCAGGGAAGAAGACTGGCTTCTTCTATGTTGTTTGTTTATATTGTTTTATTCAGACTAAAAGCTTTCTAACCACGCAAAGGGGGAAATTACTTCACTTCTTGTTTTAGTATTATGTTTCTTATGAACACAATCCTGCATTCACGATATGTACTTTCAGGGCTGAAACCAACCACATTAGGGTCAGCAGCATGGTAATTATTGCATTTGTTTTGCCGCACATTGTTGCAAGATTCAGATGGTGTTATGTAACATTTTATTTCACATAGACTCACACAATAAGATACATACATACAAAATATATGTTTATATACAGTACAAGGCATTTCTAATTCAAATGGAGCCCCAATTGCACTGTTCCTTTCCATAGCATGGGGAACAGAATGAAAGGCCTGAAAGCAACTTGAAACTTCTAGAGAACAGAAGCACAGATTTACCATGAGTCCCATCTTGTCAAAAACTATGGAAATCTCGAGTGAAACTCTACAGGTAACAGCATTGTCGTTGACAATCACCATTGTATTGACATGTGACTGCTATTTCTTAGCCTGAATCTCCATTACCAGAGTAAACTGGGAAATTACTTTGTTCAAGTTGTCCCTCGGAGGACTCTCACATATTCTAACATGTTACATATATGAAAAATGATTTGGGTAACCAACTTGCAAATTCTAAAAAACTTAACTATTGCTTCAAGCTAGGAAAAGAAAAAAAGGAAAGGCAGTGGCTGCTCCAAGAGGCTGCCTGTAATGAATGCAGCCCCGTCACTCTCAGAGGGATTCAGCACAGGAATAAAGACACTCCCTATGGATCAGCAAGTGGCAGCAGGACTCTTACAGGTAGGAAGAAAAGGACATACCTACTCCCCCCCTACCCTGTGATACTGTTTTTATCACACTGTTTGGCTGTTCTGAGGTTTATTTCTTTTCACACACTATCAGTTAGCTTGTCTACTCCCAAAAAATAATCAAAACAAAATGCACAATGTTAGAACAGAACAGTTATATGAGCAATTGGTAACGGCATTTCACATCTGACTAGTTGTTTCAGGAAATATTATCTGAAGTTTCTAAATATGTACATTCACCCCAGGCTTTACTTACTTTACTCTTGCTGCTTAAGGTACTGGACATGGAGCTGTCCAAATCCACAGCACCAGAACTGTCCAGCGGACCTCTGGCTTTACTGCCCTGTAGAGATAAAGCACACCAGCAGTTAAGATTATAATATATCAGGCATACCAAAAAGAGATTTGTGTAGCATAGTCAGAATTTGTAATTTTCAAAGACAGTATCAAATTTAATTTCCTGAAATGCCTAAGAACAGCCTTTGCCCCTGTGAAAAACAGAGGCTTCATTCAGGACAGTCACCGACATTTTAAAGGATCCTGTGGAATTAAGGAATTCTGGTGGGTAATGATTTGCTTTCCATGATATGTACATAATCACATACTGCACACATGTACTGTAGCTACTGTTAAAAGTACCTTCTGTGTTCCAAGCAGGAAATTTTCACACTAGGTACTTACCAAGATACAAAGAAATGAAAAGGCTGTCTATTACAAAGGACTTAAAACCATATAAATTTAATACACAGCAAAACATAATTTCTGGTATTATCATTTCAATGCCTACAAATCAGAAAGCAAAATATTTTTGTATAATCTGTTCAACAATATTTTTGTATAATTTGTTTGACTAATGTTTTTATGTAACCAAGAGAAATATCAAGAAACCTACTGATGGATTCTTATGTGCTATGGAACTATGGAACTTGTATCTTCCTAACCTTAAATGGTATCATTTTTTTATGTTCTGAAGTTAAGGCTTATGTTCTCTGTGAACTGTTATTCCAGGTAAAATAGAAAATGTTATCGTTATTCACAATAGTGACTGTTCTCTCCTTGAAGGTCAGAATAAACGTTTTGCCTCAGATCTGATCAAAATTAAGAATTCCCATCAAAACAGCCATGACAGTGAAAATGCAACCAATATATAGCTGTGCTTACATGAAGAGACCTCATGCCAGTCAGGACAAACTGGCAAAAATTAGAACAGTAACTACTGTAGTTAGTGTAACAATGCTAACATTATGTTTCACATCCCGAACACATCCACAGCAGGATTTTATGGGGGTGAATTCTAGAAATGCTGGCTGGGAAGTAATGAAGGGAGATTAAACTAAAAATTCTCTCTGTATGCATAATTATAACAGGGAGAACACGCTATTGCCATCATTTGTTTCATGGAGACAGGTTAAATACGATGTCTGAAATAAGCTTTGAAAGCCTAGTCTTGTCACTACAAGTTGCACGTCTATGAGCCAATAAACTGTACAAGATCTTGCTTCAATTTAACTGTTTGCTGATGAGAAATGAGAATGCCCAGTTTTTGTTCCTTAATATTTGTTGTTTGGCATTCTGTCACAACTCTTTTTTTTTTTTTTTAAAGAGGGAGAAGGTCTGATTTTTTTAATCCTTTGTCAAGCAGAAGTCCTTCCAAGTCTCCTATTATTTTCCTCAGACTTTTTCCATGAGGAGCAAAACAAATAATATTTGAATGAGAAGACACTCTGTAGGTTTAAGTAGCGCTTAAACTTGACATCTGATTTGTTTTCTTAACCGCTACTGTATACTTTCAGCAGATATTTTCAGCCATCTGTTCATGATAAACATTTTCTCAACATGTTTTCTTGGGGATCACTATTACATAGGAGCTCAAGTTTTTCCCACTAATAGGTATTGCCAGACACTGTTTACAAAGAATTTTACCTGATGCAATATTGCATAAATGCCTTCATATTCTTAGTGCCTTCTGAAGTTCTTTACACCCCTCACCTTCAAATAATCTCTAGCCTTTAAAAGTTCAGATGCCCCATTATTCATCAGCTCTGTGTCACTAATAAATACTGTCTCATTAGGAACGCTTAGACAGTTCCCTAATAATTTCCTTCTACATAAAGAGAAGTGAACAATTATAATTACTTCTTTAATTTTCCAAATTCGAAAGAGAAATAAAACAATGGGTGCTTTTCATAAGTTGTCATACTCAACTTCATATTAATTTTTTGAAATGCCTATATACACTATTTCTTATCTAGCAATTAGTTCACTTCTTCCAGGACTTGGTATTCTCTCTACCAAAGCCCTGCTTTGTTTTGTCTCCTTCTAACACGTACACTTAAATATTTTTGTCACTGTGCCTTTAATAACCACTTGGCTACAACCTGGAAGGATAACAAATATGACTTTTCTATCATTCAAATAAATAAAACAATGAAATTATGTTCAGAGGCAATAAACATCAAGATACTTACACGTGATAAAATACTTTCAAATGATTCTGTCAAAGATCTTTTTGCTTTGTTCTTTAACATATCTAATCTGAATCTCGGAGCACTGCTGGGCACCTCATTTACAGCATTCTCAGCAGGGGGTTGTGAAGTCTGCAATTGTTTAAAAACATAAATGTGAAATACGCAACAGCATGGAGCAGAATCTCAATGAACAGTCTGAAGACTCCTGTAACCTGAATCAATACTTTCTCCCAGTGTCCTTGGCTTTTCATGCCTTTTTCTCTACTGATACTTATATTGAAGTATAACAAACTATCCTAACATAAGACCAGGAAATCTATTAAAGGAAATGTGTTGAGTGTAGTAGAATGCTTCAGAAGAATTGCCATTTTGACAGGGATTTATGGCTGTGTTGACAAATTTTCTTTAATGCCAAAGTACATTTGTACAAATTCTAAATGTTTAAGAGTAACAGATTAGAGATTTCTGATGGACTTACTTTTCTTCAGCAAAGAAATTCATAAAAATTGATGAAGCTCATAATTAATAAGAATTCTCAAGTGTCTCCATTATATTAAAATGGGGCTTTCTAAGGGCCAGGAAGATATATAACAATCTAACTCTTCTATATATTTCACCAGTAGAAACACTTCCACCTTAAAGCTAACAGTCTATTGAGAATTTTGCTTTTTAAATAAATATTTCAGCCCATTTTTAGTGCTTGCAAAGACTAGTGTAATGAATACAAAAATGACACTATGGTGCAAATATTACCATCCAAACCTAACACGTGCAGTAGAAACCACAGCACCGTTTTCAGTGTTATTTTGGGGGGTTCACCTTGAGGCTGCCAGGCACCGTAGCCCTCTCTACCTTGCCCTAATTTCAGAGATTTGAATGCTTGAGCTATGTAACTATTAGTATGTGGGCAGCTGAACAGCACATCATCATCATCACCAAATAGTCCTGCCTAGTTATAATTTTAAAGCATCCTATTTCCAGTACGACAAAGTTACAGGCTTCTGTATTTTCTTTTTACCTTCACTCATCTTATCCTCAAAGGGCAAATCAGATGCTGCCTGCTATTATGTTCTGATGAAAAGACACTTATTTTGAAGGTCATTTTTGTTAAATAAGATCCATGTACTAGTATCACATTTCATTTTTTTCCTCCCCTGATTTAAATATTAAAAAAAAAAAATGTGATGAAAAGCACGAAAGTGAATACCTATGCAGAAAAGAAGGGAACACGCACATCAGGATGTCATGGGTTAATGATTGCCGAGACAAATAACACTGCCAGAGCACACGTTCAAAGGTATCTGCTATTACACAGCTCTGGAGAGAAATTATCAGAGTAAATATAAAATGTTATGCTAAGACAAACGATGGACTGAGGGCAAGTCAACTCTGTTCTTAGAGCATTGGCATCTTTGCAAGTGTCAGATTAACCAATTTTGGTTCCAGGAACTGAGCAAACAGACTGCAGCAGGCCTTAGGAATTTTCAAATGACACCGAAGACATATTAAGATATTACTTTGCTTCGTATATCCCTATTTCCAAGCCATTCGTGACTGACAATGATTTGATAATCAGCTGGCATTAGACCAAATAAAAATATTTCAGGTATGATGATCGAGGACCTCAGGCCATGTTTCTCCCTGTCATGCCATAACTACAATGTTTTTTTCTTAAAAACGTATTTCTGGAGAGATGCCCAAGACAAGAAATCAGAGAACAAAATATGCAAAGTTTTCTTCCTGCTTTCTCAGAGAGGTCAATAATTAGCCAGTAAGCCATAAAAGGGGAAGTGATTAACAAAGTGAACAAATAGTAAATGAAGGCTTGCTGCTATTTCCCCAATTTCTTCAGGGGTCTAATTATTCTCCATATATTCATTGGCTAGTTTACATCACAAACGGCCAACAGCAGTCATCACAATTACTGGCCAGCAGTGGTGGGACAAGATTTTTAAAAGGGTCAAATAATTGGAACTGAAAGTTTCCAGAGAACGGGTGCTGATCCTCTTTTAAATACAGACCTCCTCAAGGTGTCTCAGGTTAGTTAGTCACAAACCAAGGCATCCAAAATCATTAATCCCTTTTGAAAAAATCTTAACTGTGCTGTATAAATAGCCAGTTAAACAGCACTGATGTAACCTGATACAGAATGAAGGGTAGCTCAGCTCTTTGGAAATGGATGACAGTCTCTGCTGCTGTTTCTGCAGCAATCCTCCTCAGCTACTCCTCCTTAAGGCCACTTCAAATGGTGGTTTGCACACAAGAAATAACTGCCAGCTATCAAGTAAATGTAACAGTCTTTATCAAGGATCAAATCCAATGTGTTGTCAGGACACTGACTCACACAGACAGACAGTGGGATGGCAAATGCCACAGATCGGCTGAAAGCAATTACAAATTCGTTATATATTCCCTCGCATACATTGAATTTTCATTGTAGTGAGAAGAAAGAAACAACCAAATTAGTGGTCTACCTTGTTTGCGTCTCTGTCTCCTAGGCCTGAAATCAGACTGTACCAGGTACCTCAAAATCTGAGATATGCCTGTTTTGGCGCACGACAATAGCCTATGAATCATAAGCAAAAACAGTGTTCACCACTGCCTACAGTCTGAAGTTCCAAAATATCAGTGATGGAAATTTGCCTTTGGAAAGATATAAAAATGGAATGGAAGACTTTTTCCTGGCTCCTCCTTACACGAACTAAAACTGAATGGTTACTTACCTGTTTAGCTTCTCCAACATGAACATGGTCCTTCTGTTTTTCTTCATACATGTTTCTCAAAACAGAGATAACCAACTCATTCTCTTTTTGATCATTTCTTGGTCTTAATTTCTTTAATTGAAAACACCACATGCACAGTAATTATACATTTGTGTAACAGTTAGCAAATATTTACTCTTTTCATTTTGTCCCTGTCAATACATTGTTAGTGTAAGAACAAGTTTAACTTGGTTAATGCTACCACTTCAGTCCACCAGAGGACACCAGTGTCCCATGTAAAGCAGCAACACAGCCAAAGAAACACTTGACCTCACTTCATACATGACAGAATTTACATGAAAGATAAAGGACAACTGTAGAGGTATCAAATTGCCACAAGCAAATAAAGACTTTAAAAAATAAAATTTGCCAATTTGCTTTTGATGTAAAGAAGACCAAAACACTGTATTTCTGAGCTTGTAGCACACATGAAGTACTGTCTTGCAGTTATGATGCACAACCCTTCTCCGAGAAATCCTTCTCATTGGACATTTCTTTTTTTGGAAATGACATAGGTATTTTAAAAATTAGTGCAGTAGGTGAACATATTTGTCTCTGTTGCATTCTATTTAGATCTGAACTATTGTAAAAGAAAATGTTTTTAAAACAATTTATTATAGAATTTAATCCCAGAAACCTAGCTTTTGAAAAGCATACACTGTTTTAAGCCTATTGATGTAATGCAGAGGATACTGTATGAATTACCTAATGCCTGGGTAGCGTATCAGATTAATAAAAATATCCTTAGAAAGACAGTTATCTAAGAATGCAAATCATGGTTCCAACATACGGAGCTGTAAGAATGCAACAACTAAAATTTCAGGCAGTCCAACTCAAAAAAATCAGCTGAAAAAGATAGGCAAGAAAGACGTACTTTACCCTTGGTTTTACCAAGTTAATTGTTTGCAGGCTCTCGCCAGAAGCAATTAACAGTTTCCTGTGACTACTAGAAGCTTTAGACCACTAAAATGTGTGCAGAATACTAAAAGGCAACAGTGCCAGCTAGCTGCTGTAATCTAAGAAATTACTTAGCTTATGGAATCGCTCATGGAAGTAACTTCCAAATTTGGTACTGGATGATAAACTGCCACATGGAAACACACAAAGAAACTGAAATGACTCAAGAGAGGAAGGAAACGTTATTTTTAAAAAAGTCTGAAATTTCCTAATCTTCAATAGTGTGCTAAGCCCAATGACATTTCCCACAATGTTCATCATCTGTGAAAAGCTATGCTTTCCTCTGTGCTAAAATGGATTTCATTCAGAAGATAGAAAGTTAAACTTTTTTAGTTAGTTTGACAAGTCCTAAGATCTAGGATAAATTTTAGGCACGAAATTTTCTGATCTGGGAATGTTACAGTAATTTGTTCTGGTCAAAGTAACAGTTTGTTACTTTGTAACAAGTACAAGTTACTGCCTTCACCCACAAAAAATGTGTGCAGTTTTACTCAGTAAGAAGTCAACATTTTCATGGAAAACAAGTAGTATTAGGGGAAGAAAAATGAGTAAAATAAGCCATTTTCATCAAAAGACAAGTTTTTAACAGCTTTAGAAAAAGAATGATATTGAAATTAAAGCATAAGGTGATTAACAGTCTATTAAATAAAGATAATGAGTAATTCACAAAAAATTGAAAATAACTTTGGTGCTTCACACTTATGTTAGCCAAAAACATAAATTGCTTTAAAATCTTGTAGGAAACAAAGAGCTTACCTTAACCTCTTCAAAAACAGAGGCCTGCTCCTGGTTATTTAGTGTTGTGAGATGCTTTTGTAGTTCTAGTTTAGTCTTAGAAGGGTGTAACCCTACCAAGAGGAACAAAAAAGAACAAATCACAGGGTCAAATTTGTCAGAATTAATCAATCACATAAATATGCACATAATTTAAGCCAAAACTCGTCAGTTACTTGAGCTGACCCATTGCATTGATTTCATAACAGGGCATTAGAAAGATCTCTAGGTTAATTTAAAGCTACTACTGAACTCATGTCTTTAAAATGAGGGACATGAACTCTGCAATGAAGAGATTTACTGAGCACAGACCAGGATTATGCTCTTAGCTAAGATTCCATTATCACACAAGATAAAATAAAGCCACAATCTACTACATTTTAACAGACTACTTTGTTGGTGTTTTAGGCAGTACTGCTTGGATTTTGCTTGTGGTATAAATATAATTTCCATTTTCTCCAATTTGTATGCCTTGGCCTCTTTTGCAAAAGAGTAGATTTATTGCATGTTAGTGAAGTTCTTGCTTTACCTCTTGCTGAAAACATTTACTGACAGTCTAAAGCAGACTACCCTCTCATTCAGATTATTTTTTTCTGCTCTCAGCCTGGATTAAATTCCTTTCCTCTATTTTCTGTGGAAAAACAGCAAACCATCAATGGTATTCTGTACTTCAGTTTCTGATCATGGCATTTCTCCTTCAGAAGCAGACGATATGATTAACCAGATGGCATGATTAAAGGCATTAAGAATCATTTGCCTTTAAGAAATTTCTCAAAAATTATAGCTAGCTGAAGACCAAAATAGAGTGAAAAGTAATTTTGGAAGTTCTCCAGTTTCATCAAATTAATACTAGATAGGTTTTAGTCCAACAAGCTACTGTTACATGATCTGTCAAGGTGCTGTTGCCCTTTATTCACCCCAGACATCGCTTAAATGAACAAAACCTAACTGAAATTTGCTGAAATGCAAAGAGATTTTTTTTTTTTGTCTTCAACTTGTCTTCTGGGCAACAACTACAATTCTAACTGCTGCATTTTCATGAAGGACATAGATCAACACCACAAACATGCATATTAAAAGCTCACTGTCTGGTTCATGTTTAGTGCTACCGTAATGCCAGTATCTAAGTAGATTCAATAGGACAGCAGGTCATAGCTATTGCAGCATGTATTCTATGTATTCTTGAGAAGCTTCTTATCTACAATCCTCTGTTTATATGATGAATAAAGCCAAGCTAGCTGCAATTCAGTAATATTTAGACTCTTAATCAGTTTTTAAAAATTTAACTAAAATACAAGGAGCATAACTTTTGTTAGAAAATTATTACCTTACAGATAACTTTACATTGCAGTCCTCTAAACAAAAAGACTGGCTTTCAACCCTCCACCCCAAGTCCCAAGCTCTTTTTAAACCCTTAGAGTTTCACATGTAAGATTGTCCCCTAGTAAAACTGTTAGAAAAAATATTCGATCAGAAAATTCTTTAAACCTCACCTTCTATCTTTTCACAGAGTTTATGCAAGCTTTGCATAGGACATCCTTCACAGAGCTGAGGCTGTGCCTTGGAAGTTTGTTGCACAGCAGCTACGGTGAAAGCCTGTTTCAATGTCATCATGATTTCATCAACCTGAAAAGAACAGAATGCAAAAGAACAGAATTTCACTCCTCCACTGAGCTTCTGTTTTCCTTAACACAAACACAACAGTCTTTTAGAATGATACTGACACTTGCTTGGGAATGTGCTTATGCTTAAAAAGAAAAGCTGTTCCCGTGCCCCTTCTGCGCACAAACACACAAGCAAGACAAAACTCATTGTGAAGTTGTATCTCTTCCTGGCCACCGAATTTTATCACTGTGGTCTAATAAAATATATTACCTCTACCTAGAAATCTTTTCTTGTCTGTGATAAAAAAAGCTTACTGCAGTTGTAACACACTGGCCTGACCTAGAGCACAGTAGTGTAGTCCTGATTTTCTTAACAGGTACACTATTAAAAAAACCTGTTCCAAAAAAGAGGCATACAGTCTAACTTAGTTTGTGCAATGAAAGGAATTTTTATTGGATTTTAAAGGGGATTTAAACTTCTGCTTTTAAAAAAAAATTAAAAGTTCCTTTGCAGACTGCTGTTAGTTACATTTTTGAAATAATTGTATTTCTGAGTGGAGCAGGATTTGAAGATATTTAATAAAATACAGAGCAATAGAAGACTTTTAGGGCCTAATATTCTATTAGGCTCTTCTTTTCTTTTACTTACCAGTGCTTCATCTGTACACTGAAACACATAGCAAACAAAGTGGAAGCCTCCATTTTCTGAAGACTCTCTGCAGATGAACCCAAAGTGATCCACATGTCTAATTCCCTAGCACAAAAACAACAGTAGTGAAGGAGTCATATTTACTTTCAATATTTTGTACCTCTATTTCTTCCAGTAACAAAAGCATGAAAGGCCCAACAGCATTACAGATAGGTCACATATCTCTGTTCAGCTACACTGAAGTCATCCGGCCATTAAAAATCTATTCTGTTATAGAACCTATTACTTCATTAATCTTTTAAATTTCACTTAAGTCAGAGGATGTTTTGTTGGTTTTGTTTTTTTTTTTTTAAATGACTGAATTATAATAAATCCATTGGAAAACACTTACAAGGATGAAGAAGTACTATTCAAGATGTATTTTACTCAATATCGGAAATAGCATGGGGAAAAAAGCTCGCTCTGTTTTTCTTCTCTTTTGCTTAAGCGGTCATCAATTGCTTTACCTTTGTAAGAGCAAATCAAAGCAATAGTGAAAAATGGATAAAAAAATTTTTTTTTTCACCTGAAGAAAAGCTTGGCTAGTTAAAAAATGAAAATGGTTAAATATATTACTTAAAGATCACTCATGGAAGCATTTATTTCCCCTAAAAGGCATGCAAATTCAGGCACAAACTACTTGCAACAGTAGATAAACAGTACATCCCGGTAAAATGCTAAGAAGGTTTTTTAATTGCTGGGAATTTTTTTCTTTTATGAAAAGACATTCAGATGAATAGAGTTAGGTGATCCCAGTGCAACATTCTCGGTAAAAAAAAAAAAACAAAACTTATGATGATGAATTACATGCACAGTGGTAGAGCCTGTTTATAGGAATTCAATTACACTCAGCACCATTTTACTACCTTCTAGCTGTCATGGCACAACAATATTAAAGTCAGGTAAAGAGAGGCAATAAACTGTTGTATCAAAAATCATAATGAATCACAGTAAATCAGAAATTTCAGTGAAATTTAAACAATCTGAAGAATGCCAAGCAGGACTTTTTTGTTGTGTTGGGTTTTTTTTGCTTTTCCTTGTTAACACGGCAAGAATCACTGAATATCTCTTTGTCTTTTTATCATGAAGAAAACATTTTTAAAAAGCATTTAAAAAGCATAAAAAGTGAATACTTCTATAAAACAAAATGACCAGGTTTCCTAAAAAAGAACATGTTACAGCATCAGATATCCTTAAGCAATCCGAACAATGTTGTCTTATCATTCAAAATACTAACAATAAACCTTCAGAGCATGCCAGCTGAATGAAGGAAAATAATTTAACATATATAGAGATGCCCGGCTTGTTGGAATGTGACAATTACACATAGATAACAAAGGCTTTATTACACAAACATCAGGCACTAATATGCCATGAGAACAAAAAGGTCAGAAGGACATTCAAATGAAGTGAAGCCTGCAGCTTCTCCAACTCTAGCTCCATTGCATGTCCAGGCTAAGCATTTTAGGAGGCAGCTATGTGATAAAGCAAGAACAGGCTGAGGCAACCCACAGACTCTCTCTCCCTCCATCATCCACAGAGATGTGTACAGAAAGCCCCCATCTCTAACCCCCCCAGCCCGTGTTTCTTCTTCTGAAAGACCATTTCTTCTCCTGAAACCCCAGCTGCTACTGTGGAGGAAGCCCACCTGGGATCACGGCCCCGCACGCAAAAACTGTGACAAACTGGCAAACGGTTTTAGCTGTTTCAGATTAGCTAATTCAGATACTGCTCCAGGACCACATACTTCTTTCTGCCATTATAATATCTCACTGATGGATTGGGCACTCTGGAAATTAAGTACTGATTCCGATATCCCTTATAATTTAACTCCAGTGCCTCCAAGAAAAGATTACTGAAGTTCTTGTATGATCAAGATGAGTCCGCAAGATCGTTCCGTCAAGTCTTCTGAAATGTGCATACTTGGGGGAAAAGCCCTCTGTACCCCAATACCAATATTTGCCCAACTGACATAACATCTGCCCAGTAGCACATTATTCAGACAGGAGGGGAGAATTCAATCAGAATCTCATTCCTACTGCTCTGAGGAGCACAACCATCTGCTGACCTTCAGGGCAAGTCACAAAGTCTACCTAACTAGCTCCTGCCTAAGGAGATGGCCTAAGGGAACAATGGGGATAAAGATTTTTCTGTGATTAAGGAGTTCTCTTCAAAGCTCTTGCTCTGACGGCATGCAAACTACTTATGTTTACTCTGAATTTTCAGAATAGGTACCTGTATGTTTAGTGATGAAAGCTATCCTCATCAAATTAAAAAACAAAGTCATTTATGAGAAAAAAAAAAAAATCCAAAAAAGCTAGAAGCAAATAACAGCAAATCATATTCCTTATATTTAAAAATGGGTAAATAAACCTACTGCAAAAAAAAAAAGTTTTGCCCCAACATCATTAAAACGAGAGCCTGTGATGCACTGAGTAGATCTACACTATGCAAGTAAGCCAAGTGCAAAATAGTTCCTAGTGCAAGAAAGAGTGGCAAAATTCACATCCTGGTATACTAGGTCATATTCCCACCCAAGCCCCACAGTACAAACAAGCATTGCATTGGCTTAATTCAAGGTGAATTTTTAGTTAAACTATCCATTCCTCAATAAATGTAAGTTTATTTATATAATTATAGTTCAGGGTAATTTCTCAGGGTTTTAAACTAAAATAATCTATAACACGTTTTAAAGGAATTAAGTGTTCTCTAAGGACTCTATCCTAGTTTAATGAATTAAGTTCAATCTCCCCATTCATTTAAACTGAATCAAATCTGGTACACAGACAAACTAAATACAAATAATGCTCTGCAGGACAGAAAATGGCTAGTGGAAGACAAATCCCTGCATCATGACACTGGTTAGCTAACAAAAGCAACTGGTCTATGAAATGTCTTTATGAACAGTCGTTTCAGTCTGCAGGTTGATACTCGAGTAACTCTCAAAGGAGAATCCTCCGCTCCTGTACACAGGACCTGCCAGCAGTTAGTGCAGCTGCCCATACAGGAGTGCTGTAATTGCCCGAGCTGTCCAATGTCCTTGACGTGACGGTAACTGTTCTGCCCTCACACCGCTGAGCTGTTGCAGTAGCTGAGTGTGAATCACATGCCCATGTAACCTATGCAATGCCATTACTGCATCTTAACACGTGTAAGCTGCCTCCCTTTCAAAACATCACCGCTCAAAATAAATCATTAGATAAATTGCACCCTCACATAATCCATGCAAAATCAAAATCAGAGCCATGAAAATAAGTGAAGGACAGGGAAACACACCCTGTGGGATAAGTAACAGGGATTAATAGTGAATGAGGAGGCTTTGAAATATGCTTGCCCTCAGTGCATCACACACACTACCTCTACGTAGCAGAGGATTCTCTTCTTTTACACACATGCAATTTATACTCTTGGAAAAAAAAAGTATTTTTGAAGTATTTTTCAGAGAACTCTTACATATCGTTTATCTCCTTTCATTATCACTTCTTGAAAAATATGTCTCGGAGAATCCCAGATTTGCACAACTGTGAATCATGCCCGCTGAAATTTCAAACTAGAACTGACCACGGTGTTCCTTCTAGCTCATATTACTCATCCACCACACACAGAAGTGAGTCTTTACCTCAGAAATTACAATGCAAAGCATGAGAAAAGAATGACGGTTTTACAAAATTACTGATTAACTAGCAACTTGTCAATAGCAATTACTGAAACCGCTGGGATGAGAATCCATTTGAAATGCTAGGAGAGAGGAGTACATGAGCATTCACAAGTGGAGAATATTTAAACAAAAAAAGAGAGAAAGAATACACTGCAATCTTACCTGAGAACAAAAGGATATTTCTTTAAAGCTTTTTTCAATTGCTACTTTTTTTGTGTCAGGACTGATAAGGTAAACTTCAGACTGTCCAATCTAAAAAGAGCAAAATAAATAGCAAGATGATAACAAGTAACATTACACTTCCTTTTGTCTTGCTATAAAAATGCTTCCTGGATATAAATCTCAATTTTTTTTCTACTTATATATTTAGATCAATTAGTTTATTATTACCAGAGAAAGAGAAAATACTGAAACATTGATTTGGCATTCAGAGCTCTGCACACCACTGAACTGAGATTTAGCTTCATATTTGAGACAAGAGACTGAGAATAGTGCTTAATTAGATGAGAGTAATATTATACCACAAGTAACTTAATTTGCACTGAGAAAATATACTTACACTCCCTTTTCTTATTTTCTGCATGTTTGGCACATACCACATTCCCAAAAGCTACTTAACGAAATTGTCCTAAAATGTAAATCCAAGCGTGTGCCTCTACCTGTACTCCACCTAATTATTTTTTAGGGTTTTATTAATTTATTTAAGACACACATAGCATTTAATTCAAAGGCTGTAACTCAAACTATAAAAATGAGCTTGCTGGAATATATTTTCTAACTCAATTTAATCTGTAGGCCATTTGTACAGCAGTGTTCCAAAACCTGATGCTAACTTTTGATGGGCAAAGGGCATTTTTAAGGTGAAACTATTGTTTTCATTTTTACAGCTTCTGGCAACATCTTTGTAATGTTCTAACAGATAAAATTTAAATTCCTCATAGTTTCTAGCACATCAGAAAGTCTGCTAAGGACAAGTCTTGTACCAGATTTTAGGGAAGATGGGTGGAATCTGGATCCATTCATGAGCATGACTTAAACAAACCTGCTGAAGCTTCAACCACTACTAAATCCCAAAAGATGCACTTAAAAAGATCAGCAGAACCAATATACCTGTAATTTCTTAAGGAAGGGAAAGGAGGGAATTCTGTGTGTAAATAGATCAAGTGAGATGTGCCACCTCTGCGTGTCTAAAAATGCACCTGTGCATTCACCTTCCATCTCTTCTTTCACTTCAACCAGTCACACCGATTTTCCCCAACTCCCTGCTGCTTTCCTTGTATTGTCCCCAGGGCTGACCTCACACGTGTTTATGGGGTTATTCCTTCCAACACCTACTCAGCAGCCTCCTCCTGCTCCCTGCTGCCTTCCCCTCCCTGCAGTGAGGGGCTCCTCCTTCGCTCTGCCCCACATGCTCCTTTCACACTTGGTCCAGGGCAGCAGGGATCATTTGAAGTCAACTGAACAAGGGGAAAAAAAAACCCAATACATCCCCCCCAAAATACAGCCAGGAGAAAAGCCTAAAAATAATAAAAAACCTGAAATCCTAACAAATTGCCTAGGAAAGCAGTTCTTCAGGAAGAGATATCAAAATCAGGACTGTCTGAACCAGGTCAGGAGAGTCAGTGGACAACTCATGCGAACATTTTTCCACACCTCATACACCAACCTCTGCTGCAGTCCTGGGGAAAATCTAGGTAAGAACTTCAACTGAGAAAATACAAACAATTTTTTTCCTCTGGATGTAAGTTACTTTTAAGCATTTCATATGTAGCCATACACAAACTGATAAGCAAAGGTGCATGCTGTATGCATACC